ATCTATCCTACTGTTCTGGTGGGATGTTTAATTCATAATATCTATCCCATTGTTTTGGTGGGATGTTTAATTCATAATATCTATCCCATTGTTCTGGTGGGATGTTAAATTCATAATATCTATCCCATTGTTCTGGCGGGATGTTTAATTCGTAATATCTATCCCGTTGTTCTGGTGAGATGTTTAATTCATTATATCTATCCCACTGTTCTGGTGGGATGTTTAATTTATAATATCTATCCCATTGTTCTGGTGGGATGTCTAATTCATAATATCTATCCCATTGTTCTGGTGGGTTGTTTAATTTATAATATCTATCCCATTGTTCTGATGGGTTGTTTAATTCATAATATCTACCCCATTGTGCTGGTGAGATGTTTAATTCGTAATATCTACCCCATTGTTCTGGTGGGATGTTTAATTCATAATATCTACCCCATTGTGCTGGTGAGATGTTTAATTCGTAATATCTATCCCGTTGTTCTGGTGAGATGTTTAATTCATTATATCTATCCCACTGTTCTGATGGGATGTTTAATTCATAATATCTATCCCATTGTTCTGGCGGGATATTTAATTCGTAATATCTGTCCCATTGTTCTGGTGAGATGTTTAATTCATTATATCTATCCCATTGTTCTGGGTATTTAATTCATAATATCTATCCCATTGTTCTGGTGAGATGTTTAATTCATTATAACTATCCCATTGTTCTGGTGGGTTGTTTAATTCGTAATATCTGTCCCATTGTTCTGGTGAGATGTTTAATTCATTATATCTATCCCATTGTTCTGGGTGTTTAATTCATAATATCTATCCCATTGTACTGGTGGGATGTTATGTCTCTTAATTTCCCGGTCATAGTATCTATAATAGTATCAGAAACTTTTAAATATCATAAATTCCCCCATTACCAAACAAAATTAGCTAGTGTCTTGGTTGATTATAATCAAGATATCTCATCTCGTTTGTAGCCTACTAGTCTTTTTTTAAAATGTTCTAAAAAAAACTTTCTCTCCCCCATGATCATATTTGATACCGGAAATTAGCTTTTGAAGATTTCATGATAGGCCAACAAACTGGAGAACCACATTTATATTTTGAAAACTTCTCTGATATTGGAATTCTTGAAGTACAATATTTGTGTAAGAATTCTTTTGATTTTAAATATTACAACATGAAAGTATTCTGGATACAAAAAAAGCTTTGAAAGGACGTGACCAAGAGAAAAAAGGGCGATAAATGATCGATTTCCGGAGTAGATTGTGATTTTTAAACAATATTTTACTTTAGAATCCTAGTATAACAGTTACCACTTCAATTTATTGTGAACACGATAAAGAGCTGATTCCTTTATGGATTTTGACAAAACTTGGTATGAGTGGTCGTAATCACCTAAGGATGAACCCTACCAGACAAATCGAATAAGATTTGATGTGAGTTCTTGCCCTTGTTCTTAAAAACGCGTTCAATTTTTATTTGAAAATGTGTTGTGGTCACAATAGATAGCTGGTTTTTTGAGGGATTTTAATACAATTTGGTTTCATTGTTTGTTATCACCTAAGGATGAACCCTATCGAAAATCAGAAGAATCGAAAAATATTTAGTTTGAGTTATTGCCCTTGTTCTTGAAAACTCGTTCAAGTCTTCGTCTGTAAACACTCTAGAAGGTTCAATTCTTGATGGATTTTGACGAAAATTGATCATATTATACAGTATCGTTGTAAGACTGAAGGTTGAACATTTCATACTGTTAATTGTTACTATTAATACCAAATATTTTTATTTAAAATCAAAGCTGCCAGTGGGCGTATATTACCTTGTCTGGCAAGCTATCTTTTATCTCGTAAACACCCTCGATAAGAGGATTTTGACGAATCGCGGTGTGAGTGTTTAGTTTTTAGCTTTTTATTAGCTGACTACATTAAAAATTAATTTCTTAATAAATATGTATTCAGATTACGGAAACTGCCGAATGCGCGATAGAGACTTTGGTGAAACTTGGTAGCGTTTGCAGTAGCCTTGGCCTACTGGCGACCGGCGATTTTGTTTAAGCCAAGGTTTATCAAAATCAAAAAGACAGGAGTTTTGAATAATTGACCAGTGCCCGAGGTTTTCAGTTGTAATAAAACTATTTTCTCACAAAGCTTCGTTTTCCCTTAAGTAACGACTCGTTCAGTAGAAAACAACAAAACGTGTGAAAACCATCGAAAAGTTTTCGTTTATTGAACGTGTGATTTATATAATATGATAGAGTTTGACATGAATTGTATTACAGGGTAGGTAACTCCATCTTATAGTTGGCCCACATAAAATTTATTGATGATTTAATGTATAGCCTTTGTGTTTTCCAAAATAATCCCTAATTTAAAGAGCCATCAACTCGTTAATACTTTTTTCAACATTGTATCGTTTCATTTGATTCATTACCTTGTATATAAATATTGTGTATTATAGTTTGTATGTGTATATTTTATAATTC